CATAAAAAGGAAATAATGTCATTTTCAGCAACTTGGATGGAACTGGAGACCATTATCCTAAGTGAAGTGTCTCAGGAATGGAAACCCAAACACCATATGTGCTCTCTAATATTCGGGAGCTAAATGATGGGTACACACGGGCACAAAGAGATATAAAGGACATTGGAAACCAAGAAGAGGGGAGGTTAGGAGGGGAGGGGTGGGATGAAAACTTACCTATTGGGTACAATGAACACTATTCTGATGACAGAAGCACCAAAAGCCCTGACTTAGGCATTATACAAGGTAGCTATGTAATAAAAGCATGTACACCTCCTTAATATTTTGAAATAAAATGAGAAAAAGAGGAACAGAGCTCAGTGAAGAAGGCATGATCTGAAGAAAAAAACAGCCACCAACTGAAGCACATGCCAGTCTGCAGAGAGGCCGGGGCCAGCACGGGACACCCGAGCCCGGGGTCTGGGGCAGGGATGAGTCCATGTGTCTCTGCAGCTCGGGAGGGAGAGGACGTTCTGAAAGGCTCCTCCCTCTCCAAGCGCCTTACAGCACAGGCGGACCTGGCCTTGCAGAAAGATGTGCCCACAGGCTCTGCCTCACTCGCCCTCCCAGGCATGCTCTGGGCCCCTCCAGCTGGCAGGAGTGGCCAGGCCACCTGGCCAGGCACAGCCACATCAGTCAAGACACAGTGCCTGGTGCTCCTGCTCATGTTCACTCTACGAATGCTCGCTACAAGTCTCCCAAGTCAGGTCTGTGCTGGGCTGGAGCGTGCAGCGCTGCCAGTGACAGTCAAGACCCCTGTATTCAAGGGACTCCTGGTCTAGAGGGGGACAGTCCATAGAGAATGAAACAGAGAACCCCAGGTGGTGATACATGCCAGGGGCAAGTCAGAAATGGGATCAGAGCTGACTGGGGCATGGCCCAGGAGACCTGGAGGACAAGAAGGAGTCAGCAGGACACAGAGGTCTGCAGCTCAGAGCCAGGTAGGTCAGGGCAGGACACACACATGGACACAGGGACATGGACCCATGGACACACACGCAGAAGTTGTCAGCAGAGAGAGTCGGAGGCCACGGCTGAGGTCTAGGCTCCATGGTTCTCCAGTGTGGTGGCCTGACCAGCCCCAGCACCTGGAACTCACTAGAAATGCATGTGGTCAGGGCTCACCGTGTGTGTGAAGAAGTATCCAGGTGACTCTGATGCACACTCAGGTTTCAGAGCCAATGGTCTACATCGGGGGTTCTCCAGGGAGATACTGTCCCCAGGGGACCATCGGCAATGTCTGGAGACATTTTTGACTGCCATCCAGTGGATAGAGGCCAGGTGCCACTCAACACCCTGCAGTACACAGGACAGTCTCCTGACACACACACAAAAAGGATCTGGCCACAAATGGGACAGGGCCGAGGGTGAGAAATGCTGGCTGAGGCCGAAGGTTCCCCCGGCTGGGCATCAGGCCCCCCGGAGGAGACTCTTGCAAAAGGTCAATTACAAGTCCCCATGAGAACATTTTTAAAAGCTGTCCCAAGTGCCTGTTGGCCCAGTACATGGTCCTGGTATCTGGGAACCAAGGAAACGCCAGGGCGGGCCCCATGGTGCAGAGGGTCAGAAGCAATGGGCTTCCCAGACCCTGGGAGCAGAGGGCGCAAGAGGGAGTAAAACCTCTTGTGACTATGAACTCCTCAGAAGGAGGAAAGATCATAGATGCTTTCTTGCCTTTTATAAATTGTTATTTTGGAAGAACACCTAGCTACACTTGTGGGCAAAGAGCACAGAGTTACAGAGAGGAACACTGCAAAGACGCAGACGGACCCGTTAGCAGAGCAGTGATGCAGAGAGACGGAGGGTGAGCCCTTGGGGAAAATATTTCATCCTGCCATGCAGCCCGTGGCCACTGAGAGATTTAATACACTAATAAGGCCACAAAAGATACTCATGTTCCCTAGCCATCAAGGAACCACAAATTAACACGGGAAACCATTCGTCACCCGTCCTGCTAGAGAAGAACAGATTGACGATCTCAGGTGTTGGCAAGGGTTTGGAGAAAGGGCACTCTCACAGATTCTGGAAGGAGTGTGAGTTGCTGTGTTTTCCAGGAGGGTGCAATATCATTAAAATAAGAACTGTGGGTCCCCTGTGGCACCCAGGGGACATCTCAGGAGCTGACATACACCTGGCAGAAAATTCTCAGGTGAGCACAGGCAGCCTGTGCCCAGGCAATTACTGCCGTGTTGCTTGTAATGGATAAAAACTGGAAACAACACAAATATCCGATGGCTCAACTATGAAAAATAAATTCCTTACAATACTACGTGGCTATTAAAAGAAATGGGAGGTGATGTAGCAGTGTGGCAAGATCTCCAAGATCCAGTGTTGAGTAGAACCACACATTGAAGACCTTTACATACAGCGTAGTTCCGCTGGCCATTTTCCAAGCATAAATGTGTACAAACATGTAGGGAAAGGTCCAAAGTGTCACCATTAAATTCACAGCGGGTCATCTCTGGGGACTGAGAGAAAGAGGTATAGAGAGGTACAGAGAGCAAAAGAGGTATTGAAGCACAGTTCACCTTCCTAAAATTGTTTTGAATTTTTACTAAGGGAATATTGATGCATTTAAAATTCCTTTCCGAAGGAAGGATAAATGCAACCTTGGGCTGTTCATGAAGATACAGAATTTAGAGGAGAAGAGGTTTACATCAGTGTTCCCCAGCTGGAATGCCAGGGTCGATTTTCAAGAGTGTGAGTTAGAGCAGCAAGTGGACAAATGTGGGGGCTCCAAAAGGCAGAACAAGTGAGGGGCTGCGACTGTTCAGCCAGGTGAAGAAATGAGGCTGTTGTGATAACTGACCTAAAACATTGGACTTTCTCTGAACGCTCTGAGTAACATGCAGCATGAGAAGATCCCGTATGGACAGATGGATAGCAGACCTATTGGAGCCATTTGAAAAAGAATTTTTAAATAGACCTGCCCTAACACAAGCATGCACTGCATCAGAAAGAAGTGAGTCCCCCATCCAAAGAGGTATGCAAGTACATGCCAAGGCAGCCATGCAGAGCAGCTAGAGAAAGTGTACCCCTGAGTCCACCCTTCCTGCTTCAAGCTCCCAGGTTCCTTCCAGCTTGAAGATTCTCATTCTCTTTCTGCCAGAACAGAAAGAGAATTCTCTGCTTAACACAAGCCATAAATACTTAATTGCCTGGTGCTTTTCAGTAAGGTTCTACCACTCACAGAATTATACATATTTCAGACTTTTCACCTCTGACACCTGCTCTCCGGGTCCCATTTTGATCAGCTGAAGCAGAGAAGAACCCGAGCGTACGTCCTCCCAAGGCATAACTTAATCACAGGCATCCAGCCTCCCTCCTCGCTCCCTCGTGGACTGGCAGCACCTGCCAAACCCTCCGCTCCCACCCACAGAGGCATCGGCTCACAGACAGCCAAAAAGCTAAGTCCTCCATAATTTCCATTTCAAGTTTGCTTCCTTTTACTGCCAGGGAGACAAAGAGAGCTGGGGGACTCTCTTGTGAGGAGCCACTCAACTTCCATAATGGGAACAATCGTGGCTGTGCATCTCCAACACGGAGAAAACCAATCCATCATGGAGAGCTGAAGGCTTAATCCTCAATTCCTAATAAAAGGATTAATTAAAGCCTTAAGGGTCTGCTATGACAGCCTCTGCTTGAAACTCCAAGGAAATTAACTTTCCCTCCCAGAAAAGCCAGGGATTTCCTCAGGCTGGTACCTCAGTTTAACAAAATGACACAGTGTCAACAGTCCTAACAAAGAAATCTTCCAAGACTTGCATGGGTTTATTGTTTAAATTTTCAGATAGGGCCCTGGTGCCCACAGAACTGCCTTTAGCGGGTGTTTCTGGCAGTTGGATAGTGGAGCCCTGGTGTGTCCAGCGGAGAGCAGGAACCCCTCCCCACAAAGCCAGCCTCCCCCAGGCCGGTGGCATCTTCACTTTGATGCCCACCATTCAACATGATCAAGCCCCCGTTTGGGGTCGTTGCATTCAGAGAGAATAAGTGTTGGAAGGAAGGTAAAGGCAACTTGTTATCAAAACACAAATCTATGGAGGGATTGTGCTTCTCTAAGACACGAAATTGAGTCCTATGGCTTGATACCAAAACACCAGCTTTGATTCTTTTTTTGAACCCTACATTTCAGAAGCTCAGACTTCTCCCTGTGAAGTGAAAATTGCCTTCTGGTGGAGAAAGGTTTTAATGATCACTTTGCTTCCTGCGTCTCCATGGTGACAGGCGCACACAGCCCACCCCCCTCCTGCTTTATTAGGCCTTTCTTCCTCTCTGGAAAGTAATCAATCAAGCCCTATAGACGCCTTTGTGACCGGTTTATCACCTCAACAATCGACGCTGCCCTGGGGGTGGAGGCGTGGACGGAGTCCGTGCCTGCTGTGAAACCGGGCTGCGTCCTGGCGCACGCCCTTCACCTCCCCGCCGCCGGCTCTGCCCAGCACACCTGTCCGGGGAGGCGGGCGCGCCCAGGTGCGCCGGGCGGCCAGAGCCAGCGCCCAGCAGAAGCCCAGTGTGCGGTGGCCTCGGGGCGCGACGCTGCCCTGCCGCCGGGGTTCCCAAGCGGGGACACCGGAGCTGGGGCCCGCGCGGGGTTGGGAGGGCAGAGCGCGGAGCCAGCACTGGGCGGAGGCGGCCACGGGTCCGACTCTCTTCCCCCAGCCAGTCGGCACGCGAGGAAGGGAAGCCCCCTCCGAGCGCACGGCAGAGCCCACCAGCCAGCGAGGAGGGCAGACCGCAGCGCCCGGCTATCCCCGAGAAATCGGCTCCTTTCGGGACAAAGGGCTCCGAGGCGCCCCAGCCCTGCGTTACAGGGAAAAGGGAACGGCGGGCCCCGAGCGCCCGGGTCCTGCCGCGGCTCCCCAAACGCAGGCAGGGGCGCGGAGCCGCGCCGGGGACCTCTCCCAGCGCCACCTGCCTCGTGCCTCCCCCACCCGCCCGGCCGCCCCCGCCCAGCTCGTTACCTGGGTTCTCCCCGGCGTCCGCGGAGGAGGTGGCCGAGGAATCGGTGAGGACGCTGGGGTCACTCTGCGAGCGGCCCCGCGACACGAGGCAGCCGCTGCCGTCCTCCGACGCGGCCATGGGCCCGGCCAGCGCGGGGGCAAGTTGGAGAGAGCCGCGGGGAATCAGAGCATCCGAGGCGGCCAAGGTCACCGGCGAGGGGGCTGGCAGGGGAGTCTTTTTGAAAAGGAAAATTAAAAAGGCCCGGGAAAAGGAAGGAGCTGCAGGAGGACGCCGCTGGCTTCAAGGCGGGGAGACAATAGCCTCGCCGGCTGCAGCCAGGCGCATCCCGGCGTGCGCGGCCTCGCTTTGTTATTTATTCGTGTTTATTCCCATTCTTCCGTCTATATTCCAGGAAAAAAAAAAGTTGAACCAGGAAATAAAAACTTTTCTTGTCAGTGTTTATTGCGTGCTTGGGGCAGGGGGTGATGTCCAGGAATGTCTAGGGGCGCTCCCTCCCCCCACCCCCCACCCCCCCCGGAAAAAAAAAGGAAAAAAAGAGGAATCTTTGCTCTTGCAATTGCTTTAATCTGAAAGCTGTTCTTGGAGCATCTGTTGGAAAACATTAGGATTCTCCCATCATGCCGCGCGCGAGAGGAGCATGACGTCACGGGAGAGGGGCGTGAGAAGGCGTGGTGATGGGGAGGGGTCTCAAATACCTGAACTGCACGCCGCGGGAGGGGGAGCTGGCGGTGGACGCTGGGCTGCGAGCCGCCCTCCCCACCCAGCCGCCCCCTGGCAATGAGAACGCGCCTGTGGTCCAGCGCGAGGGCAGGAGAGCCTGCGGCCGATTCCCGCAGCTGCGGGCGGCTGGTTCTCTGGCCTTTCCGCTCTGGGAAATGCGAGGCCAGCGGGTCACGCTGCGGCCCCTCCGCCTTGGGAGGGAAGCAATGGGGCTTCAACCTCCGGGCCCCCTGGCCTGAGCCTGCAGGGGCACCCCCCTCCCCAGGCCCACACCCTCGGGCCCTCTGCCCCTTGCCGGGCAGAAAGGGGCAGGAGGGGAACGGGCGCCTTCCAGGGAGGCTTCCGCCCAGACACCCTTGATGAAGTAGAGGGGCCAGGCGAGGGAGGGGACACCGAAGGGCTGCCACTCACAGAGGTGCCCTCCAGGGTGCTAATGGGTGATTCTCACCATTGTAACCAGCGTCCAGGGGAGGGCAGGGGAGGAAGAGAAGGAAAGCCCAAGAGAGAGCTAGAGAGAGGGGCCAAGGGATGGCACTGCCACCTGGCCTTGCCTGGGGAGGTGCCCAGGGGAGGGGCATTTCAATAGACATCAGGATCTAAGGGCCAGAGGGACACCTGGGGGAGGCTGCTCCCACTCAGCCCTTGGAACAGCCCCACAGGGCCATCGCCACTCTCAGTCCCCTTTGCAGGTGACGTAACTGGGGCCCAGAGGAGCTCACCGGGGTCCTCCAGCTGGGGACAGCAGAGCAGGGGCTGAGCCCTTCCTGAAGCTGCTCATGTCAGCACCTACAGCAGGGCCTAGGGGCACAGGGTGGCAGTGTTGGACAAAACCCGAGTTAAGTGCCAAAGACAGAGCTGAGCGGTGTGGAAACGAAGCGAGTGCTCACTCCACGCGGAGCTCGGGGCTAGCAGCAGCCGCTCCGGCAGCCCCAGCAGCCTTCGGAGAAAGGATTCATTCATTCCTTTGAAATATTTGCAGTCTGGTGTGTGCCAGGCACCACACCAGGCAGCGGGGACCCAGCAGTGAACACACACAGACGCGCCCTCACTCTTTGAGTCTTCCAGGCCGAGAATGGCCACCAGCAAACCGACAGACGCCCAGATGGACGTTGGATGACGGTTGGCAACGAATGCCATGAACGAAAGAGGAAACTGGTGGGAAACTGGCAGGACTGGGTACTTTCTACCCACGTACAAACGTGCTGCATCCGTGGTGACGCGCCCAGCCCTGGACTGAGCATTTTGCGCTGGGGACGTCATTCCTTCCTACTTTTGCCCTAGGAAGTGGGAGATGAGGACAACTTCCAGAGGTGAGTTCTCTTGCCCAGGTCACAGCCAGGATGTGGAAGGGCTGGGACAATGCCAGCGCTTCCGGCCCAGGTCTCTTCAAGTGGGTCCTCGCATGCTGGGTGCTGGCCCTGCAGGCAGGTTTTGGAGTCCTGCCCCTAACCACACCTCTGGCCCCTCCCGGTCTGGGTGAGTGGACACCTGAGACCGTCCAGGTCTACCCAAAGAACGCCTGTGGCTGACCTGGCAGTGGCAGGTGCAGAGATGGACCAGCAGGGAGGGCTGGTGGCCGGGGGCTGACCGGAAGGAGAATAGGAGGGTGGTCACACCAGTGGTCTCCACCTGTCTGCCACTCGCCCACCACCCTCATGCTTGTTAGCCCTCCCTGCTTACAACCCATCCTGCCACCGCCTTAAGGTTTGTCTTTAAATCAACTCTGCACTTAAACGCATTCTAAAGGAAGCCTTCCCTAGGGCGGACGGAAACGGCCCGAGCAGACTGTCCTCGGCGTGGGGACCACGGTGCTAACTCTCTACCTGAGTCCACTGTGGCCTGACCTGGCTCCTGCTTGTATAAAGGGTGCGGGAGGCAGAGAGGAGTCAGATAGGCAGGCAACAAACGGAGACATGCTCCTTCTGTCACCAGGACAAAGAACGGAAAGAATTTCCTATCGAAGCTAATGTTAGGGCCTTGTCTATGCACCACCTAAAATTATTTCTAGTCCCTTCAGATGATCTCACTGCAGCGCCTGTTCACCCACTCCACCAAACCGTGTATGGGCGAGGGTTAAAAATATGTAAAAGGATAAGGCTTTTAGCGTTTGAGCTCCAGAGCCCATGTGGAGTGGGGAGACAGAAGACAGAACCAGATACAACCAAGTTTTATTTCTTAAAAAATATATTTTAGCAAAATATTGTGGTGTGTTAAAGCTAGGTAGGGATGGAGCTATTCATTATATTATCCTGTGGCTTCGAGATGTTCCAGAAGGGGCCAGGTGTGGTGGCTTACACCCATAATCCCAGCACTTTGGGAGGCTGAGGCTCGAGGATTACTTGAGGCCAGGAGTTTGAGACCAGCCTGGGCAACAAGCAAGACCCTGTCTTTAAAAAAAATTTAAGAAATTAGCTGGGCGTGGTGTTGCGTACCTGTTGTCCCAGCTACTTGGGAAGCTGAGGCAAGAGGATCACTTGAGCCCAGGAATTTGAGGTTACAATGAGCTATGATCGCACCACTGCACTCCAGCCTGGATAACAGAGCGAGATCCTATCTCTTAAAAAAAAATCCATGATAAAAAGAGTTTTAAATTTTAAAAAAAGATCAGCAATCTCACCTCTACTAATCAATCAACAGAAAATAAGAAGTCCTCCCTCCAGGCAAACTGTCTGCAGGAGGGAGTTTGGCCTTCCAAGCCCGTCACCTCCAGACATGGCTGGCTGGAGCCCTGTGAAGTCCACCCCCTAAGACGTGTGGAAGACACCTGCATGGGGGAGGGTTTCCAGCATGCACGGGAGGATCCTCGAGGGGTCTTTATGAAAGTCACCAACTGTCCCTCCTCAACAGGATCCTGGCAAGGCTGGGCTGGACTTGGAAGCCCACTCTAGAAGCCCTATAGGAACCAGCAAGGCTTTATAACGGCCAAAAAATACCAACAACCCAAATGTCCACCAGCTGATCGATGGATAAATAAACTGTGGCCTGTCCATGCGATGTACCAGCGTTCAGTTACGGAAAGGAATGCAGCACCGGCAGGCGCTACAACGCAGGGGATCCCGGAAAACATTACACCACATGAAAGAGGCCGGGCACTGTGATTCCACTCCATGATTCCATGAAGTGTCTGTAGAGTCGGAAAGCAGA